TGAGAACCCATTTAAGGAAACTTTCTCAGACCTGATTTCTATTTTCTCTTCACTGGTTCTTTTCTGCCTAAATATTTTACCTTTAAAATACATTTCTGGACTCCATTATTGACTTTAATTTCATAATCAGAGCAGATTGAAAAACCAAATAGAAATAATTTTAAAACCTGAACCCCCCCCCCAAAAAAAAGTGTTCTATTTCTTAGTATTGCTTAATCTGCAGCCTCATTGGGAAGATAAAGATGGAATTCAGTGATTTCCAACATACTCTTGGATTCTAAAATTTTATGACTTCACTAACTAGGAAATGAGATTTATTGCCCAAAGTGGGTGGTTGTATAGTACATGCCAAAATTCAGATAAGTGGCATGGAGGTGGGGATCTTGGGGAAGGGTATTTGCTTTTTGGGATTATCCAAGCTGCTACTGTTAGGTAGCTAGTCAGCAATAAACAGTGGAAGGGGAAGGACAATGAAGGCAGTAAAGAGAGTCCAGAGGTTTCAGGATTGGGAATCACAGGGAAACTTATCAAAACAGATAAACATCTGGAAATTGGAAATGGTGTGCCAAAACTTTTTCAGCCAGTTAATTATAACCCCTTAAGCAAACTATTGTTTTGTGATGTCACATTTGCCCCTTGTGACCAGGTCATTACCAGAGTTATGTCATACCCACCCCTTGTGACTAGGTCATCATGACCCTAAAAAGAAAATTTGCTGAGGGCTAAGCAAATAGATAATAAACTGCCTAAGGGGATATGAGAGAATAGAATAAGAACCAAGGGACCCAGCATCCTTGAAAATCCCAGACTTGGGCAGGGGTTGTGGCTCAGGGGAGGCACTGGGTTTGACCCTCAGTACCACATAAAAAATAATAATAAATGTTTAAAAAGTAATGGGAAGCTGGCAGCCGTTCTCCTTAACATGACCCTAAAACAACCCAGACTCTTAAGGGCCTCCTCCTGGGAGCCAGCCCATTCAGTGCCTGTCCAAGATTGCTTCAGCTCCACAGGCAGATCTCCTCTGCACACTATGAACCCTTATTAGCATGGATAATTAAGAACTCCCAAAACATTGCATTTGTCACCCAATTAATGGGACTTCTGATTGATATTGACTGGTTAAAAACAGCATTTTGTGCTCATCTGGGAAACTGCAATCTTTTTATGTTCTAAGCCATTTTCCATTAGTGCCTGTGCATGAAAAGTATTTTAAACAAGAAGCCAAAGAGCATTTCTAAAATTGTTTAGATTCTAGGAAGATTTAAGATGAAACAAATGTTCAGCTTCCCATTTGGATCCTAGAAGCAGTGAACACACTACATGAAGAATACATTCACGTTTTCTTGCACATAAATACATTTGTCATACCAGAACCATTGAGACAAATGGCTATGTTTAGTTGGGAAATGTATCTTTTCTCTGTATTATAAAGAATGTTACACTATAATCCTTGTGGTTTTATAGTTTCAGTATTTTAGTATAGGAAACATTGAAATAGCATATGCAACTTAATTTCTATAAAGCTCTTTACAAATATAAAGGACTACTCATATTCATTAGCAAATAAATTCACATACATTTTGCCTAACAGACAAGGATAGCCATGATTTTGAAATAATTTCTAAAAGGTTAAGAAAACTACCTGTAGAAAAAATGTTTTATAAATTTCTACTCCTGACTGACCCCCCCCCCCCCCAAAAAAAAAGTGGGCACCACATATAAACAAGTATTCCTCCAAAGTTTTTAGGCCCTTTGAATGGTCAACAGACACGTAATACATTTATGTCTATCACTATAACCAAACAATATGAAAACCTGCAGTAAAAATGATTACAGACTACAAGCAATTAAAATTTTTTTTTAAAGAAAGAAAATGAGAATATGTAATTATGAAAGGATTTATAACTACAAGATGTTTAAAACTGAGGGTTTTTACTTTGGGAAGTTGAGGCAGGCCTCAACCTCCTGAAGTTCAAGGCCAGCCTGAGCAACTTACTGAGAACCTGTCTTAAGGGGAAAACGCGGGGGAGCGGGGGATGTAGCTCAGTAGCAGAGTGTTTGCCTAGCATGTAAAGTCCTGGATTCAATCCCCAGTATTACAAAATACTTTGTTTTACAAAATTATTTATCTAATTGTCCTGGTATTGACAACTCTATTGTCTGGGATTCTCGAGGGGTTTAAATGACAGAAATTCAAACTGTGGCAAGCCAAATAACTCACTTTTTTGGTTACTGGGTGGTTCAAATTTTATGGTAGCAGGGCTAGAACCAGGGCCTTAGAATGTAATACCCCAAGAATCTCTCACTTAAGTTGGCTCCACAGCAGAGGTAGTGTCTCAGGCTCTCTAGTTTTTGTCATCAGTTTGGCAATATCGGCAAAAAGAAAATTTCATTCCTTGAAGGGTTCTATATCAAAGAAGGTCTAGATAGATCCTGTGAAATCATTTGCCCTTTGAACCAATTACTACTGCTGGATCATCACATTGACTGATCTAGTCCATGTCATCCTTATGAACAAGAAGTAGAGAGCAATTAAGAACCCCTTAGTATTATTTATAATGTTGGAGTTTCTCAAATAGGGGAAATGCTATCTAAGTTGGGTAAGAAAATTGGATAGGTTTAAAAACTGTCTTAATTTAGTGATCTTTACCCTTTCATCCTTAAGTAATGCCTTAAGGTTCAGAACACAGGATTCTATGGCCCTATGAAACCTCCCTTATGTTTAATGTGGCAACTAGTTAAACATGAATGGCACTTAAAGCGACTTATTATAAACTAAAGCTTGCTAAAGCAACTCTTTTGTTTGTTCCAACAGAGCTTTTAAGTTCTCTTCAAGCACTTTTAAAATATTATTTAACTAATTAACCTAAGACTTAATTGGGCCATTTTATTAACTCAGTTTTATTTTCTCAAAATGTTTTATATGTAATGCCCACATAAATTAGTTTTTATTGTACACTATGAATTAACTTCTATGCATCATTACTGTGTATTTTAAAAAAATCACCACAGAATAAGGGTAGCACATACAGATTTTTCTCTTGAAAACAATTATCACTGTACTATGCTCAAGAATCTGAAGGTTTTACACATTGGCGACTATACATGAGATATATATAGCCATCTCCTTCTTTTAAAGAGTAGACTAAATACAGAAAGTTCAAGATTGCATGATGCCATTAATTTTTAAGATGAATATCTTAAAACTAGGCCCAAAGTTGCCAAATTCACCACCAACTGATAATTGGCTTCATCAAAATCAGCTTGGGGAACTTTTTAAAAAACAAATTCTTGGAATGCATTTCCCAGTTTTCAAAATAAAAAATGTTTAGGGTGGTACTAATGTTAGCTCCCAGGTGTTTTGACACAAAACATATTTAACAACTGGCTTAACTCCATTTTTAAATTAATTGGAAAACTCCATAATACATTCTAATTTAAGAACATGCATGAGATATAGATCTAATATAGTTGCTTTTCACCAAATCAGTGAAACTGACATAGTTTACATAGAACTATATGAGAATTTGGAGCAGGATCAAAAGTAGGTCAATCATTATGGCAATGAATGTTTTACCATCTATTTCATTTTCCTGGTCCAGAAGGCAGTTCTGAATTGATGGACTGTTGACTTTTCAATTAAGACTCCATGGAGTAAAAGTAGTAGAATTCCAAGCTGCTTCTACCACATCCATAAGGCCTCAAACATGTTTATCATGTCTATGTATACTGAAACAAAAGTACACAGAAAAAACACTGATAGTTTCTATTCCACATTGAGGTGGGAGGGAGGTTTGTGGTTAATGCTGGTTCTGAATCACCAAAGGGTTGTGATCATAATTGGAAAACTGATCTAGTTCATGTCTTAAGTACTTCAGAGGTAAAGAACAAGACTATAGACATGCCACTGTACCATCATACCTTTTGTGTGAGTTTTCATTTACCAAATTCCTACCATAAAAATTATTAACTCTCTGTAATTAGACCCCAAATGACTTCCACCTGCAGGCTTTATGTTCTTTTACAGCACACTGGCTTCCACTGAACCCCTAGAACAAAGTAACCAAACTGCAAATCTCATAGGTCTCAATGCCAAAGGTGATCAACACTTTCTCCTAGAACATGAAATTTCTAAAGAAACATAGATACTCATCAAATATTTAATGAACTGGGTTGGGTGCAAGGACCAAAAATATAAGAATGCAGATTCTAGCCATATAACAAGGAGAAAAGATAGGAAATGTGGTTGAGAAAATAAATGTACACTAAGAGTAAGAAACCTTTTTATAGACATTTCCTTGACTATAGCAAATAATTAAAATTAGGCTACTTATAGGATAAGAATGATAATAAGCAGCATTATGAAAAGATTTAATTACCAGAGTCATTGGTTTCAACTGAATACTCACACATTAGAACCTGTTTAGAAGGCTGCTAATAAAGATCACTATTGAAATTTGTAAGTTTTTAAGTCAGACTTGAAAGGTAAGATAAGTGATTCCCCTTCATACAGTTATTAGCTCTGACGAAGGCATAAGAATTCACTTAGAAAAATTGCTTTCATAACATACCTAAAAATAGGATAGTTCATAAATTTTCAAGACTGTTCTTCCCTGCTGTGGACAGCCCTTGATCTCTGACTGTAAAACTTAGCAAACTTTGGCATGTTCTAATGTTAGTTTTATAAGTTACTGAAAACCCCTATAAATTTAGCCTCATTTCTTAGATCTGTATAGTGTTCTCATTCAGAATGCTTAAACATTGAAGTCACAAAATGAAATACCAATATAGAAATATTCATCTTTAGACAGGTTGTATAGTTACCACATAGCAAGAAACTGACCAAAAAAAAAAAAAAGTAAACATTCAGGATAAAAATACTGCAAAGCATTATGGAATTTGAACTTAGCACTTTCCTAAATTTTAGTAGTTCCAACTATAGGAAAAATATAGCTGCTATAAGGATTGAGATGATTTAAGCTAACTCAAATATTCCCCAATTTTTAAAATCCATAGATTTTTATAGTTTTATTATAGTAACAAACAGTTGTCACAGTGAGATCTACACACATGTACAGAATTATTACATTTAAACTCATATAGAACAATATTTACATTTTAAGTTATACTTTTGAAAGTAGAACATGAAGTACAGCTGAAGTTTTACAGTAAGAAGAAAAATATACAAGACAAAAAGAGAGTCAACAGTACAACTATCCATCCTCCATATAACATGGACACTTTTTGTCAGAAAGCTACATCTTCTTAATCTGATTGTCCAAATCATCAAAATATGGATGATTCAGTGCCATTTTGCCAGAAATTCGTTTGGCAGGATCATAGACTAACATTTTCTGTAGGGGAGGAAAAAAAAATTAGAAAGTAAATCATTTTTTAAAAATCTCCATAAAACCTTAGCTTTTTTTTAACCAATAAACCATATGCAAATAAGGTTAATGAAAATCTACTAAATTCACATTTTCATTACTTTAACATCAAGCTACATAAATGTCTCATTCCTCCATATTTTACCCTCTAGCTCTAGAATAACCTACTCCTTAAATTACAGATCTCAACCTTTTTAACTTGTAAATTATAGTTCAGACACAGAGATATCTTTAAAACCAAGACATAAATTCAGGAAAGATATCTGGTTAATTATATTTACTTCGAGAATTAAATAGCCGTCTGAGTAATTTATAACATTCTTAAAATGTTGGCAATTAACTATAGTGGTTTTTGATGCAGCTTCCAATAAATTCCCAATTTAAAAACGAAAACAAACAGAAAACCCCATAGCACAATGTGTTATAAACAGCTAAATATGAATCATTAAATTAATTATGATCAGGCAATCTAGTATACAAATTATTTTACACATTACCTGGAAAAGTTTAGTATTGATCTTAAATTCTATCTTAAAAGAAATATTAACCTCAAAGACAGCCAATGAATAAGCAGACTAGATATTATATATTATATTATACATACATATATATATATATGTATATAACTAGTTACCATTAGAACTCTTTTATGTATCTAACACTATATGAAGGGCTTTGGATATAGCATGTCCATTAATCCTTACAACAAAAGTAATTGGGACCCTTGAGACTCAAAGAGTCTAGCAACTTGCCCAAATTCATAGAGCTAAGAAGCAATAAAGCTAGAATTTGAATCCTAGTTTAATTTATGATCAACTGGGGGAAATTTTTATCCCTCAGGGGAATTTTGGCAACATTGGAGACATTTTTTGATTGTCATGATGGGCGTATTTGTGTTCCCATCTAGAAGGTAGAGGACGGTGATGTTAAACCTACTACAATGAATGGAACAGTTTCAGTAATGAAGAATTATCTATTTAAGTTGTCAATTATGGCTACATCATAGAATCTTACTTAGGGCTTCTCTCCACAACTGGGAAATCTGAGCTTACATTTTGTGGCATGATTTATATATTACGAACAGAGCTCAAAGATCATCCTAAAAGATCTATTTCATTACAAAGCAATGTTTTTCTTTGTTTAAACTTGCCAGACTATTTATTTATTGGCACCATATTACCTGGGATTTGTAAAATTGGTTCATTCTAAAAATTCAAAACTTAAATATTATTCTAAGACAGGCTTCTGGAAGCAGGCCTTTTAAATAATTTTTGTCTTGTTTTAAAAGAAAACAGTTGTTAACTGGGAATAGAAATATAATAGAGGGGAAAGATTAAGAACTACATTAATCCTTCTAACCTTTATGATGAAGAAAACCAGGCACAAAGTAAAAACTGGAGTTCAGGTTATAAACAACTTTAATGACTAAAAATATCAAGCAGTAAGGAAAGCACCAATGTCTAGGATGAACAAAAAAATGGAACTTAGTAGTAAATACTGAGACAAAAAAGTTGGAAAGGAAGACTACAACTCACCAACTTAAAAAACTTTACAACTTTAATTAGGGCTGGGGTGTGTTCAGTGGTTGAGTGCTTGCCTAGTATGCATGAGCAATGCAAAATAAAAAACAGCGAAAAGGTGTTAACTCTAGTCTCTCCTTTAGATCATGAACAACAACCTATCAGATTAAAAACAAAAGAACTTTCATGCTAACTAATTCTCTTCTCTCTAGTGTTTCTTTTTTTTTTAATATTTATTTTTTAGTTTTCGGCAGACACAACATCTTTGTTTGTATGTGGTGCTGAGGATAGAACCTGGGCTGCAGGCATGCCAGGCGAGCGCGCTACCGCTTGAGCCATATCCCCAGCCCACTCTATATAGTGTTTCTTGATAGCTAAAATGGTTCTAGTAATATAACAGACAACTAACTCAACAGATTTTGGTTTTCTTCCTATTTCCCAGGTAAAAGAAATGTTACTGAATATACCCAGTCATCAATGTTAAAGTCAGTATAATTATATATTACACTATATCACTGAAAGCATACAGAGAGCTTTCTCACCGAGAGCAAATCCAAGCCATTTTCATCCAAGTTTTTGACATGGGATGCCAGGCTTCCTGGTTTCCACTTGGGAAATGTATTCTTATAATCCTGTAAAGATTCCACTTCTGGCCACACTTCATTGTTGGGAGTGCCCAAAGCTCTAAAAAAATCATAGCAAAATAGGAAACTGTCATTTAAGGCAAAAATACTATCTTGTTATATACATATTTATTACTTAAAAAAATTAACAGCTTAGTTATAAAAATACCTGAAAATCCTGAAGAGTTGATCAATTTCTGAATCTCCATGAAAAAGTGGTTTCTTAGTTGCCAATTCTGCAAATATGGTGCCTATACTCCAAATATCAACTGGAGTGGAGTAACGAGCTGACCCCAGCAATACTTCAGGAGATCTATACCAGAGTGTTACTACCTGTTACAAAGCAAAAAATATACAGAATAAATGTGGTATATTAAACTACCTAAATTTCCTTTAGAATGTTGTAAAATTGCAACTAATAACACTGTTTGTCAATTAACTATACACAGAGTATTAAAATTAAGCTAAATATTTCATTCAAGTTCTACTCTTTAGGGAAAAAAAATAAATACTAAATCTTTTTTTGCTTTTCAAGTCATTAAACAGTTATATAGGGCTGGGGTTGTGGCTCAGTGGTAGAGTGCTCACTGAGCATGTGTGAGGCCCTGGGTTCTATCTTCAGCACCACATAAAGATAAATAAAAGTATTATGTCAATCTACAATTAAAAATTATTAAAAAAAAATTTTTTTTAAAAAGTTATATAGCTGGGCACAGTGGCACAAGCCAGTAATCCCAGCAGCTTGGGAAGCTGAGGCAGGAGGATCATCAGTTCAAAGACCTGTCTCTAAATATTTTTAAAAATGGCTAGTGATATGGCTCAGTGGTTGAACGCCCCTGAGTTCAATCCCCAGTAACAAAAAGCAAAACAAAACAAACAACAAAAAAACCCAGTGATATAGGTTATCAAAAAACAAAACAAAAAACCCTATTGCTATAGATTTGGAGGTGATATTCTTTAAAATGAAGATTCTGCTTGCATGCTAAAACAGTATACAAATAAGAAACATGAATAAACCGTGTTAGTTTATTCATGATCTAGAACTAATTAATCATTTTAGTATATTTATCAGAATGATAGAAATATCAACTCTAACTTAGAACAAAGCTAATGAGCTCAAACAGCATTTATTTAAACCAAAGAGAACCAAATAATTTATTTATGCAGTCATGGAAAAAATAATAAAAAGGAATAAGAAGAAGCCACAACATCTATTCAGAAAGTTATTATCTGCAGTCAGTCTTCAGGTGAAACTGTATACAACTCCAAAAAGACACAGGTTTTTAACAGTCCTTTACTATACAATCCAACATTTGCTTTCCCTCCAGAAACACCAAATGAAATGCCAACCCTTCAACACAACACTGGCAACATGACAAGGAGGCTGGGGTGTAGCTTAGTGAAGAGAACTTGCCTAGGATGAGAAAAGCCATGGTTTGACCTCCAGCACTACACATACACACACACACACACACACACACACACACACAAAAAAAAACACCCAGGATTTTTATACACACACACATATATAAAAGCTTCTAAATGAATTATGTATCAGAAATAGTACCCCTTAAACAACGAAATCTTTTAATCAATCTTGTTGTGTATCAGGAAGCATCCAATTAGGAGACAGAAACCAGTGACTTGGGGAAAAGTTTAATATAAAGAATTAAACTATAACTGGACCAGAATAATGAGATTAATAAGAAATAATGAAAACTCACTTACCTCATGTGTATATACCCTAATAGGTATCCCAAAAGCTCTGGCAAGGCCAAAATCAGCTAGTTTAATTGTTCCTTTGTCATCAATCAATAGATTTTGAGGTTTTAAGTCTCTGTGAAGAACTCTTCTAGAGTGACAAAACACAATCCCCTGAAGGATTTGGTACAAATAACTCTAGAAAAGGAAATATAAGTTAGAAACATAATCTTACAAAATACAATTTTCTAAGTATTATTAACCAATTTGTTTTAATGATATAAGAAATAATGACGTAGGGAAGTGATTTACCAAAAAAGCCTTCAGGTCTTTTGAGACTAACAAGCATTTGTGTGCTGGAAGTCCATTTATATGTCTATCTTATTGATAGACATTCACCTATGGGCACATTTATAGTCAGATGATATCCATATGAACTCATTTAGTCCTATTTTACTAATTTTGGGACCTCTTATCCTTCAAGTCACAAGTTCTTTTTGAGTTTCTTGATCTTCCTTCTATGCACTTACATCAACACTGTTTCTCTGTTGAATAAGGTTGTTCTTTTCATTTCTATCTTTCATCTTTACACATATATTTCCTCTTTGAAACCAATAGCCACAGATTCAAAAAAATGGCAAAGAGGATATTATGATTATGTATTTAAATGTACACAATCACAAAATTGCTATTTAGTAGTTCAGAAGTGTTTTATATGATATTAACCAAGAACAATGTAATTAACATTTGAAGCAACATGGGTATTACAGAAATATATAGTACTCATATAAAACAATGACTTAATTTTGAAATTGGAAAATACATAAAACCAATAAGAAAACTGGCTAGCTATTTAGGAAGCTGGGTGTATGTACCCTAGTTCTTAAACCAAAATAAATATTTGATCCATGCAGAATTTAAAGCAAAGAAGTGGGAAGGGGCTAAGAGACAGACTTACTGAAACTACTAGAAAGATTGTCATTTATTATTCTGAATAAGCTATTTATAAATGACTCTAAGCTATTTATAATTGATTATCAACTAAACATGAATGTTTCAGAGTAAATTGCTACGAATTTTTAAAGGGCAATTGGCAATATCTACCAAGATCTTAAATGTAAACAAACCATCTTCAACTTAGTTCCAGTTCTAAGAATTTATCCTATAAGGTGAAACACAAAGATAAATATATAAGAATATTTACTGCAATATTGCTCATAAGAGTAACAATCACCAAAATGGAAAATAACTGTCCATCAATATGAAATTGGTTTAAATAAGCATAGCAAAAATATAAACAGACACAAATAGATATACACATCTAATAACTTTTCACACCCCAAATAATGTATATTAATAATGTATATATAAATGATTCCTTTTGTGTAAGGGCTACATGTTCATACACATACAGAGTGGACATAAATGTGTAAGATTACAATTAAAACTAACAATTACTGCCTCTAAGGAGCAGTTTGCTAAAGTTGGTATAAGGCACTTTTACTTTATATATAACAAATGTCTACAATACATTAATCAAATGTTTTAAACCAGAATAAAATAGAATCATCTGCCACTACCACACTGCTCCAGGCTTTTTTTTTTTTCTATATTATCTGTCAGCTAAGGAAAAACCAGAATGCCTTAGTTTTCAACAATAGAACATAGAGAATATCAGTTTTATGTTAGGCTCAGACACCATTTTTCACTAACTAGAAGCATTATCTGGCAACTAAACAGACAAATGTTAATCTAATCTATCTAATAATCTTTATAGGAGGAAATAAATAAAATATGAAATATTTTTTCTCATTCTATTTTCTAACACTTTTTCCAATCATAGTCTGACAAAACCCATGATTTCTACATAGATTCTTTACCTTTACAGTATATAAATAATAAAATTAGTAAGCTTCTTACCTTAACAAGTGAAGAATCCATGAACTGACCAGGAGGGATAGAATCCAGGTATTTCTTGAGATCCATGGAAAGGAATTCAAAGATGAGATATAACCTGGAATCCTGCATGAGCACATCTTGAAGGCTGAGAATAAAAACGTGAAAAAAAAAAAAAAAAAAAAGCGCAAACCTGTTTCACAAAAATAGTTGAGTAAATTTCATAGTGATTATTATAAAAAGTGGGCTTAGAGGAGATGGCAACTCCCCTATTTTCTGTAAAGAACCTCAGTGCAAAGCTAGAATTTGAGAAAGGGCAATTTAAAATTAGGAGATACTAATTTAAAAGGGCAATTTAAAATTAGGAGATACTAATTTATAAATAACCTATATTCCAAAAGAACATGTATTATCTAGGATGGCTGCTCATTGCTCAGAGCTTGTCTTTCCATTTAAGTAAGTAGAAATAAACTTAAGGAAAACCTAACCTTAATAGCTGCTCCCTATCTCCAGCCCAAGCAAAATACAATTAGGTTCTAAGCTGAACCATAGGAGGACCATTCCTGAAAACACCCTAACACTTTTTCCAATCACAGTCAGACAAAGCTTATATAATCTTTTCCCCCCTCCTGTTTCATCTGACCTAGGTACCTGGTTTTAGGACAGAGGATAATGAGAGACCAGAGCCCCCAGAGTGGGAGCACTGACAAAGCTCCATCAAAAGGGCTCCTTTTCTCCTATGGCCAGCTTTGTCATGCTTTTCCAGCCCCCAATACTAATTCTCATCACAAAGCTCTTAAGCCTATTTCTGTTTTTTTTTTTTTTTTTTTTTTGGGGGGGGGGGGGTGGACTGGGGATTGAACTCAGGGGCACTCAACCACTGAGCCACATCCCCAGCCCTATTTTTACTTTATTTAGAGACAGGATCTCACCGAGTTGCTTAGCACCTCCCTGTTGCTGAGGCTGGCTTTGAACTCTAGATCCTCCTATCTCAGCCTCCCAAGCAGCTGGGATTACAGGTGAGCCAGGCCCCTGCTCCATTTCTGTTTTAAGTTGTTTTTTTTTTTTTTTAACCCATGCCCAGCATGCACAATCAACAAAAAGAGTAGGACTTTATTCCACTGAGCAAAGTCAGACCAGAGACTAAGCAAATTTAAAAGGTTCCACACTGAAATTCACATTTGAAATAGTATGGGTAAAATAGTTTAAATCCAGATATTATACCATACCTGACTATATTTGGATGACGAAGTTCTTTTAATAGAGAAATTTCCCGAATTGCAGTACTAGGAACCCCTTCCTCTTCACTTTCTAGTCTGATTTTCTTCATGGCTACCACTTGACCTGTAGTTTTGTGTCTACCCTTATATACAACTCCATAAGTACCTGAAATAGACAAAGTAAATATCTGCTATGCAACACCCCACAAACTAAAAGTTCTTGCACATGATAGGCAAGTGCTCTGCCACTAAGATATGTCCCCAGCCTAAAACATTTTTTAAATAACTGAATTCCTTAAGTCGTCACCAGATAGAAATGTCTTTGTGGCCAGTTGGGAGGTTGTTTTACCCTCATTGCTTTCTAAAGGAAAGTGAGGGTAATTACAACCTATCACGTTTATGGTTTAGAAATAAAATTCAAGTAGACATCACAAGTTTTCCATAAATTTAAACTACCATTAATGTTGCAACACATGCAACAGAAGAAATGGATTGTTCACAAACTGAAATTTACCTCCTGCCACATATCCTACATGACTGAAAAAAAAAAAAATTAGGCATAAAACAGTTTTAAAAATTGGGGCTCAGGAAATAGTATTAACAGGAGTTGTAGACAATGATGGGATTTGTTGTTACATATTCATACGTACATACAATAATATAATGCACCAATAAAAAAAGGGGTGGGGAGGAGGCAACGGTCCTTATCCAGAAAAGAGACAAAAAGACCATTTGTTTTTACTAAGTCTTTATTAGACCTAATAAAGCTCATACCATCTACTATGCACTAGGAAAATCTCATACCATTTGAAGTTAACAAAAAACACTAATTCTCATTATGTGGGCTTCAGATAATGAACAACAATGTCAATAAAAAGAATAGTAGAGTGGGAGGGAAGGTGGACACAGGGAATAGAAATGGCAATAAAGGCTAGCTAGCTAAAGTTCATACACATGCTGCACTTAATTCCCTAGATAAGTGCTTTAAAAAACAGGCTGGAGTTTCAGGGCAGTGTTGAACCCCTTGATATGTATAAATTTTGTTGAAGAGTTTTTGCTTTCCATGATATCGTTGTAACTTAAAAAATGATTAGAAGTAATCCTAGCTACTTAGTATGCTGAGACAAGAGGATCACAAGTTCCAGGCCAACCAGGGCAATTTAGGAGACCCTGCCTCAAAATAATATTTTATAAAAGTTGGATTATAGCTCAGTAGTAGAGAGCTTTGCCTAGTATGCAATAAGGTCCTGAAGTCAATCACCCAGTTTTTTCCTTTTTTGATACTAGGGAATGAACCTAGGAACACTTTACCACTGAGCTACAACCCCAGTTTTTTATTTTTTTGTTCAGATACAAAGAACTTGTGATTCTCCTCCCTCAGCCTCCCAAGTCAGTGGCATTATAGGTATGACCTGGAGAAAAAAAAATTTTTAAAGTGATTAAAATTCATTTTCCTATGGACATTTCTCTAAAAGTAGCAACATTTCAAAAAAGCCTAAGAGATCGGTTTAAGACTAACAGAAGACTTGTCCCAGAAAATCAAGGAAAAATAAAGTAGAACATGATCAAGTTATGGAAGCCTTGAATTGTAAGCAGTAAACCTCCATTTGACAAATATTTAGAGGTCATTATTAAATTCTAGCTAGGTGTCTACCATCATAAATATATTTATTCTCTATGACATTATCTTAAGACAGGAAAGAGTTCAAAGAGTAGAATGACAAATTCAGAAGAAATTGGATAACAACTTTGTAGTATTTGCAATGAGTAGTTTGGATATATTTTAAAATTAGGTTGTCCAAAGTGAAAAAAGACCTCAATGTCAAGAGGGATAAAATGCAGGCAGACATGTTCTAGATTACAGAGACTAAGACATTAACTGCCTTAGATCTTAACCCATGGATCTTTGGAAAATACCGAAAAAGTGTTTAGGGGTAAGCACATCTCTACAGCTTACTGCAAATGCATCAAAAAGAAAGACAAAAATGCAAAGATAATAAAGTATGACAAAACACATCTTGGTAAAGATGTTACAGATTTGTCATACAAATCTTTCAACTTATAAGTTCGAAATTGTTCCAAATTAAAGCTTTCTAAAAATCAGGCTGGGGGGCGGGGCAGGAGGGTGGGGGAAGCTCTCCTAAGTACTGAATCTGACTTCATGCATGTTAGGAAAGTGCTCCACTAACCAGCTACACCCCTAGCCTTTATTTTTGAAACAGGTTCTTGCTAAATTGCCCCAAGTTGGCCTCAAACTTTTGATCCTCCTTCCTCAGACTCTGAAGTAGCTGGGATTACAGGCATGTGCCACCACACCCAGCAGCTTAAAAATCAATACTAGCTTAAAATTGAATACTAGACTTAAACAAGGTTCCTGGCAGAAACGAAGGAAAATTCTGTATAGAGGACACCATTTAGGCTTCATATTATTTCCACAAGTTAATTTTTCAAAAACAATATGCAGCACACAATATCCAGCCAGGCAGCAAAATGAGAAGATTATACAAGCCAGAGCAATTAAAAAGAATATTAAGGATGTAAAGGGAATGAATGATTATATACAAAATTACTGGTTTTTAGAATAACTGCCAAGAGGCTAATAATATATCACAAAATTATATACTACTAATATACTAATCTCTGCTGCAGACACCAAAGCATATGGAATAAGTTATTAAGTATTTTCAAAACACAAGCATTGTAAGTATTTGGTGTCAGAAGCATAAAAGACTATGAGGGAGATCACCAGGAAATCATATTAAATTCTCTTGAAATGTAAACATTAAGTTGTTATGTTAAAAAAAAAAAATTAATGCACATTAGTGCTACCAGGTACCTTAATGGTTGTATTTTAATAAATTTACATGTTTGTACTACAGAAGTAGCATTGTTGAAGTACTTTTTAAAGCTCTTATGTTATTAAAATCACTCACCTTCCCCAATTTTCTCTATTTTGGTGTAGTCTTCCATTGTTACACAATAGGTATGACAGATCCTAAAATGAGGAGAAACACTAATTTGATTATATGCCACTAAGTCTTAATGAGATCCTATATGAAAGCATTTTCTACAGTGCCTTCTCCAGTATATAAAGTATCCCATAGATATTATATTACTATTAAAGTAGTTACAAGAGTAGAGAATCCTGCAATAAGACTTTCCAACCCTTCTTAGCTCCTAAAAAAACACTGCATTTGTATATTCTATGCAGTACTTAGCTTGTTCAAAACAAATTAACCCTCAAATTCAGGCATCAACTTATTTATTCCAAATAGTTCAACAATGTTATTTGAATTTGTATGCTTTTTTTGAAAATGATTCAAAAGATACTATGTTTTAAAGACATGAGAAGAGAATCAAACTGGTCAGGTTTTTAACCATTAGAAATAAGATTTTGTTTAAAAACTGCAAAAAATGTAAATGTTTACAGTTGTTCCAGCGACAGTTTTAATCTTCTCCTTTGTTTTTAACAGCCACACAAACACATTCAAGATTGTGAAGAGTAGCACCCTAAAAGAAAATGAAAAGTGCAATTCCACAGATAATAAAACTGACAACCTGACATTCAAAACTACTTCAGCTGGTAAGTTTGCCAATGAAACTTCAAAAGCCCAAAATATAGTCACCTTGATAAATGATCCCTAAGAATTTAGATTGCTCACATTATCTTCAAAAAGAAAATTCAATCCAGAAAGTAGAGATAAATCTTAAAATGAGCCCTGGGAGAGGTATTAAACCAGCTGCCCTGGGGGTTTGACTTCAGGCACTGGTCACCTATGCTAACTTCCCGAAATGCCAATGGACAATTAACATTTCTTTCAACCAGGTTTGATACACCTTAACTGCAATAAAATTGTTGAGCTCGGCTTTTTAACAGAGAGCTAAAAATTAACTCAATTTCAAAGCTGAGCTCAGTTCCCTCCCACCGTTTTCTGGTTCTAACAATTTAAAATAAAGCATGCTACTTAATGCTTTACTAGCTGCAGGAGGTGAAATCTCAATGTTGGCATCTCCCTATCCAGAGACCTCCAGGTCTTTATGGGCCTGCAAGAAGTGCACACCAGTAACTTTTGTATTAGATTCTTTAAAAAACAAAAAAGTCAAGGATATGAGAACCCAAGTGTTTCTGTCTTTTAGTATTTCTTAGCCTTTCTGCCAATTCCATAGTATATAACGACCAACTATAATAAAGGAAAAACCCCAGTTCCTTCTGTCTTGGAGACTGGCTAAGCATTCTTAAAATATCCCAGTGGGCAAGGGTTACCGGCACAGGAACCCGAGAAGGCCCACAAATTCACGGATCGATTTCTCCAACAGCCCAAGTTTAAGGGACTCGCGTGGTCACCTGGCCAGGTGCGGTCAGTCTTGCCTTCCACCGCCGGAACGGGAAGGGGGAGCCCACGGGCCTAGGGCCGAGCCTGGCACCCGCAGCTCACTGCGGTCAAGCCAATGCAAGGATTTTGCTTCAACCGCGACCACAAAGCCTCCTCGGGCAAGTCAGCGGCCTCCTCCCGAGCACAGCTAACCCGGGCCCCAAACCGAAATTCAGGGCAGCCAAGAGCCTCCCTCAAACGCCAGGCCCGAGCCCCTGAGAAGGCCCTACCACCCTCAGAGGACGGGCCTGGCCCTCACACAGTCCCTGCAGCCCAGCCCAACTCCGAGCGATCACCCCGCTTCTCAACTCGCCCTCGGAGGTCCCCTGCCAGGCGGCGCCCAGAGGCATGACCCTGACCCCGGCAACTCTACCCGGCTTATGTTCCGGCGGGGGCCGCGGCGGCAGCTACCTGGTCTGCGACTCCACACTCAACTTCTAAGTGCCAGCTTTGAAGCCAAGTGCGAGCAGTTTCAAACTCACCGCGCTAAAGGGGATTGGATCCGCCAATCAGGTTACCCGTAGACTTTCAAAGGAACCAATCAGAGCCCAGCTACACTTGGGCTGGACTTCCCGGGAGGCTAGAGCGCGAAAGAAAGAGGAAACGGCGGCTGGGAGAAAGGAGGAGGGCGGGCGCCAACTGAATCTTTCATTCCAGTAGAGAATCGTCCTATTGTTTCTAGTCACAGGGAATCTACGATTCTCTGTTTTCATTTTTAATTTTTTTCCTCCCAGTACTGGTACAATTAAAATTTATTGCACTCAAATATCTCATGACAAAAGTGCTATTGTATTTACATAGAGATCCCATTACTTTCCCTCCTAATACTTAAGGTTAGTGTATAACTGTGCTTCTTCTTTTTTTTTTTTTTTAACTTTTTTTTGTAGTTGTAGATGGACAGAATTCCTTTATTTTATTTGTTTATTTTTATGTGGTGTTGAGGATCGAACCCAGTGCCTCACACATGCTTGGCAAGCGCTCTGCCACTGTGCGACAGCTCCAGCCCTAATTGTGCTTTTTAAAATGACCAAAAAAAGCATATTTCAGGTATCATTACTAATAAGATAATGAAAAAGGCCTAGCGAGGTGGCGCATGCATGCCTGTAATCCCAGCAACTGGGGAGGCTGAGGTAGGAGGATCCCAGGTTCAAAGCCAGCCTCAGCAACAGGGAGGCCCTAAGTAACCCAGTGAGACCCTGTCTCTAAACAAAATGCAAAATAGGGCTGGGAATGTGACTCAGTGGTTGAGTGTCCCCAAGTTCAATCCCCACTACTCCACAACCCCAAAAAAGATAATGGAAAAGGAGATAATGGAAAACCGAGAGACATACTCAAAAGTATAAAGAAAAATTCCCAGTTGCATTTATGTACAATTCTGTGTAATATATAACTGTCCTTTGTTTTTACCTTATTTATTTAAGATTTTTATTATAAAATTTTGAATATTTTAAATTTTAAAATATTTTCACATTAGAATTTTAAAGATTCCTTAAAACACAAAAATCCACAATTTTATGAAAAAGAGATCTAAATTATTTTGTAAGTAATCCAGTGTCAAAAGCTCTCTCTTCATTGCCCCTCCACCATGTTGTTGAGAGATTTCTTTGCCCTTTTTATTTTTTATTTTGAGATAAAATCATGCTAAATTGTTGAGGCTGGCCTCTAACTTGTGATCCTCCTGCCTCAACCTCACAGAGTAGCTGGGATTATAACTGTTCACCACTACACCTGGCTCTTAAGGCAGATTTCTACACTTCAACATCATTCCTAAGTCTTTGAGAAAATAAAACAGTAAAATAGAACTAGAGATTATGAGACTCTACCTAGCATGGATTTCTCTTTGCACTGATCCTAATGGGTCATAGAACAAAAACTGATTATCATGTTCTCTACAAAAAAAAATCAGAAGACCAGATTAAAATAAAGAATGAAACTAGTATATCACATGTATTTGAGTGTTTAATTCCTTTTTAACATAAAATAATGAGCCATGTCTGTCCTCTGGCCTATATGAATGCTCAGCCTTGACAAGTTTTTGCTCTTAGGAAACGAATAGAGTGCTTAGGATTCTTGACGGTAGATGTAGGAGCTTCAAAGCTCCTGCCTGACCCTACTAATTTGTGTGTGTGTGTGTGTGTGTGTGTGTGTGTGTGTGTGTTGCTGGGGATCAAATCCAGGGCCTCATGCATGCCAGGTAAGCACTCTACCACTGAGCTATATCCTCAACCCCCTAATAATGTTTTAAAATCCAAAATTCATTTTGTAAATGAAAACTGAATATTCCAGAGAAATGCTATCAGGCTGTTCTCTGCTAGTTTAAGATACTGATTATAGTGAATGATGATATGTCTTTCTCTCTGAGAGACTTAAGCAAGGAATTTATTTTATTTTATTTGAAAACAGCAAGCAATTAATTATATCCGTTTTACATTCAACAAACAGAAGACCTCATGCTTCCACAGCTGGGATGCTAGGTTTTTTCAATTTAACTCAATTATTTTTCTTTTTAAAGTTTTAGGGATTATTGTAAATGCATGCTACCTAATTAGCAGATACAGTTTATCATACTTTGGGTAAATTTCTATTCATTATCTCTAAAGTGCAACTCTATGTTTTATAGACACAAAAATGAGTAAGATAGAATTCCTGCCATAAATATTGAGGGTAGAGAAGCATGATGGTTATTTACATTTCTCTTCTGGTACTTAGGTTGTAACTTATGTAACGGGGCAAGATATAGGGGAAGACATAAGGAAAGAAATGATTAATTCTAATAGAAGAAGCAGCATCTGAACAAACACTGGAGAAAAGAATTATGGGGTGGGCCTTCCAAGCACTGTGCTTGTATGAGTAAAAGCACAGAGGCAGAAAGTCTGCCTCGTGATTGAGATGTTTCAATCATTGGATACAGGGAATACTGTTAGTATTAGGTAGGAATGGGAGTTTGGAGTCAGAATCTTGAAGAGCCCTGAATACTGTACAAAGGGGTCTGAGTAGGAGAGGTAATATACAGCTTTGGAACTATATTTTAAGAGATTAACCCTAGAGAGGGCATGAAATTTTCCTTCTTTTTTTTTTTCTTTCCAGTGGTACTGGGGATTGACCCCAGGGCTTCATGCATGCTAGGCAAGTACTCTACTACTGAGTTGCATTCCCAGCTACATTTAAAAAAAAAAAAAAGACAATTTAAAAAAAAAGCAGGAAAGGATAGAAAGGATTATGCTTCTAAAATTTCATATTTATATTTTCATAAACTCTATTTTGCAAGGAAAAGAAAAGTTGGCACTGTACATGAGGTGTTTTGCTTGTTTTTTAGATAGAAATACAAACTTAATATTTTTGTCCCTATCCAAATTTTTATGAATTCTTCATCCCCATTGTGATAGTATTTGAGATGGAGCCTTTGTAAGTAATTAGGATTAAATGAAGTATGTCATGAAGGTGGAGCCCTCATGATGGGATTGCTGATATTATAAGAAGAGACAAAGACACCTATGTAGCTCTCACTCTATAGTGTGAAGTTAGAGTGAGAAGACAGTTGTCTATGAAGCTAAAAGCCCTCTCCAAATCCCAGCTGTGCTCACTCTCTGGTCTTGGACTTTCAGCCTTCAGAACTGTGGGAGAATACATTTTTGCTGTTTAAACAGATTTTGCAACAGTAATCCAAGCTGAAGACAAGTTTGTTTTTTTAAAAAATTTAAAAACATTGTTGAAAATACATAAAATATAGTCATCCTCAGTATGTATGGGAGATTGGTTCCTTTTCAACATAGTTGTTTTGGCTTTCTACCTCATTATTGGTTATATCATGCAAATTTGTAGAATTTCTGTCAGGTTAAGAAAACATTGATCACATTTGTTTCACATCTAAGCAATTTGTCCTACTGCACTGTTTATGCCCTAAACCATCAGTCACTTTTTCATCACAGTGACAAAACACTTAAGAGAATCAACCTAAAAGTAATAAAAAAAAATTATTTTGGCCCACACTTTTAAAGGTTTCAATCCATGGTTGCTTGGCACTGTTGGTTTGGGCCTGTTGGTAAAGCAGAACATTATGGCAGAAAACACGTGGTGGAGCAAAGATGCTCGCCTCATAGTGGTCAGAAGGACCAAAGTTCCTATATCCCTTTCAGGGGCACACTTCCAGTGACCTCCCCTCTTTCTGATAGGCCCCACCTCCTACAGATTCTGCCATTTCCCTTTATTGCCAAGCTCTCAACACATGGGCCTTTAAGGGACATTCAAGATCCAAAGTATAGCACCTACAAACACAGGAATCATGGTAGAATTTAATTTGCATTGTTATAAATATTTCAGATTCAGGAAATTGTCTTGTACTTTTATAATTCCTTAGGCTATGTTAATGAGTATATTCCTGGCACAAAAGAAGTTCAGTTTAGACAAGGTAATAATGAAAACCAAAGTCTCTTCTGCTTATAATTTTATGCACTTGATTTTTTTTTTTTTTTTTTTGGTATGGAGCACTGAACCCAGGGATGCTTTACCACTGAGCTACATCCCCAGCCTTTTCTATTTTGAGACAGGATCTCACTATGTTGCTGAGGCTGGCCTGGAACTTGTGATCCTCTTGTCTCATTCTCTTGAGTTCCGGGATTACAGGCATGTACCACTGTGCCTAGCTATATCTAATAACTGGAAAAATTTTCCACAAGCTAGTTTCTCACTTTCCACAAGCTAGTTTCTTCTCTACTACCCATGTACTACAGGGTCAGATAAGCTCTTTGATCATAAACCCTAATTTCCAGATATCAAGAAAGTCAGCAGAAGGAGGAAGGAATATTCCTTCCCAGAGGCCTTGCCTGTGGTAGAACTTCTGGTAATAACTTGAAAGTGCTGTGGATAAACAACTAGATACCATTAATCCAAAACTAAATGTGTATGTCTTGGTCCTTTCAGGCTGCTATATGAAAACACCATGGACTGGGTGACTGATAAACAACAGAAATTTATTTCTGGTAGTTCTAGAAGCTGGAAAGTTCAAGATCAAGACACCAGCAGAGCTGGTGTATAGTGAAGGACTGCTTCCTCATAGATGTTTGACTTCACATGGAAGAAGTGATGAGGGAAATCTCTGGGTTAATTTTTTATAAGGGCAATAATCTCATTCATGAGAGCCCCCACCATGATCTAATCATCTCCTAAAGCCCTCACCTCCAAATACCAGCACTCTAGGGTGAGGATTTCAAGATATATGGTTTTTCAGGGGACATAAACATTTAGATCATAGTAATGTATCTTCAACTCATCTTTCCCTGTGCTGAATCCCAGAATGTTCATGGTTATACCAATTCCACTGCACTGGTGGAAAAGTATGGCTGATAGGGAATCGAAGTGAATAAGAATAGCAGACTTCATCTCAATTGTGATTAAAATAACTATAAAATTTGCAAAATAATATGCCTACCTAAGCATATGGCTAAGGGTCTATCTTAGTCTGTTTTATGTTGCCATAATAAAATACCAGAGACTGGGTAATTTATAAAAATAGAGACTTACTTAGCTCATGGTTCTGAAGGCAGGGAAGCCCCAAAGCATGGTGCTGGCATTTGGTCAAGCACTTCTTGCTGCATCATAACATGGGAGAGGAC